GAAGTGGAGCAGTTGATGTTGATTCTAAGGATTGAGCATACGCGGCTACCTCGAGGTCTTCATCATTTATTGAACCATCGCTTATCAAACACTTCTCAAGTGGATCAGCTGAGTAATAGTTTGCAAGTTGCTCATGTGTACACTTATCATTCACGTCGACCTTGTAACAAACTTTATCGGTTAGAGGGAGTTTCATAGCATTGCTTAAATCAAATTCTATCTTCTCTCCTCTAATATTTAGGGAGAGCCTTTTATTTTTAACATCGATTATAGCACCTGCAGTAGCAAGGAAAGGTCTTCCTAATATAATTATAATATTAGAATCTTCTTCTATTTCTAAAATAACAAAATCAACCGGGATAAAGAACTTACCGACCTGGATAGGTATTAGAATCTTCTTCTATTTCTAAAATAACAAAATCAACCGGGATAAAGAACTTACCGACCTGGATAGGTACATCTTCAAGTATACATCAACCGGGATAAAGAACTTACCGACCTGGATAGGTACATCTTCAAGTATACCTACCGGATATTTTATTGATCGATCCGTCAGCTAGAGTGATATCGTGGTTCAAATCACTTATACCAAGTTTCTTACAGATAGACATTGGCATTAGACTTACGCTTGCACCCAAATTACACAAAACACGGTTAATAGAGACATTACCAATGACACAAGGAATAAAAAATAAACCTGGATCCTTAAGTTTAGGAGGTAACTTATTTTGGATGATAGCACTACACTCCTCAGTAAGGGCGATAGTCTTGTATTCATCCAACTTCTTTTTATTAGATAGGATCTTTTTTCAAGAACTTAGCATAAGAAGGCATTTGAGAAATAGCCTCAGTGAACGAGATATTGATGTGCAACTTTTTCAAAATCTTTAAAAAAATTTCGAATTGATTTTCTAACTTAGCCTTAGCTAACATTTGGGGAAAGGGTAGATGAGGCTTGTAAGGAGCGGGAGACACATATTTCTCAACTTTTTTTTCTTCCTACGTTTGGATCTCATTATCCTCATCTACTATCTTTTCACCTTTTCCTTCATGATGACCATCTACCTCATCATTTTCCTTCATCTTAGGTCCCTCATATTGTTTTCCACTCCTAAAGGATATAGCATTCACATGACCCCTAGGATTCGTCTCGGGTTGTCCAGGTAGCATGCTCGAAGGCCTAGAAGAAGAACTAGTATTTTGTGCTAATTGTGTGATTTGTGTCTCTAACATCTTGTTATGTGTAGCTAGAGACCAATTGTTTTACTCGTCATTCGTGGTTTGTTGTTGTTGCTTAAACTCTTCATTCAGTTTCGATTGAGTCATCACAAACTTTTCCATCATATTTTCCAAATTAGACATTTGAGAATGAAGATTGGTTTGAGGGGCACGAAAACCAGGAGGAGCAAAATTAGATTTGGGCATGGGATTTAAAGGTGGGCTTCTATAAGATAAATTATGATGATTCCTCCATCCCGGATTATAAGTGTTAGAGAATGAACCTCCATTCTGATTAAAGTTATTAACATAGTTAAGTTGTTCATTACCAGAAGTATCAAGAGGTGAGGGGTTTTCTAATTGACATTCAAGTGCAGAATGACCCACATAACCACATATCTCACATGCAATTGAAGTAGACGCCACAAAATTAATGCTCAAGCTTTTAACTTTTTTAAACAGAGCATCAACTTTAGAGGATATATGATCTAAAGCATCTATGTCATATTTTCCACCTTTTGATGTCTGAGCACGCTCGTTCGCCCATTGATAGTGATTCTGAGCTATGTATTCAATGAGAGTGTATGCCTCATCTATTGTTTTGTTCATCAAAGCTCCTCCTACAGCAGCATCAACAGTCATTCGAGTGTTGTAAGTGAGCCCATTGTAGGTGTGAACAATTAACCACTTCTCCAGTCTATGGTGAGGGCATATCCTCAATAATTCCTTGTAGCGGTCCCACGTTTCATAGAGTGACTCTCCTTCCTTCTGTACAAAGTTTGTGATCTGGTTCCTCATCTGTGCTATTTTACTTGGAGGAAAATACTTTGTAAGAAACGCCCTGATCAACTGATCCCAAGTGGTGATGGACCCAGCTGGCAATGAATGCAACCAAGCCCTAGTCTTGTCTTTTAAAGAGAACGGAAATAGTCTGAGTCGAATAACATCATTGGTCACTCCATTAAGCTTCTAAGTGTCGCAATACTCCAAGAAAATCGACAGGTGGTGGTTCGGATCTTCAGTAGCATCTCCTCCAAACTGATTCCGCTGAACCATTGAGAGAAGTGATGGTTTCAGCTCAAAGTTATTAGCTTCAATAGTGGGCCTTGTAATACTCGAGTGCGTGCCTTGAGCATTTAGGGTAGCGAAATCCTTAAGAAGCTGATTCTGATCACCCATCGTAGCTTATTATGTGTTCCTTTGCTCCCTTATATACCTTCTTATGTCTGCAAGAGTCACCGATAGTTTAGGATCGTCCTTGTCGTGTACTTCCAGTTGATGTCTTTGCATAAAAGAAAGTGAGTAGCAAATATAATAAAAAAAGTCTAGTCTAGCTTAATAATTTAAGCACTCAATATTAACAACGTAAGTCCCAGGTAACGGCACCAAAAACTTGATAGGCAAATCCGCAAACGTACGGACTCGTTATAGCTATCAAGGTCGATCCCACGGGGACTAGGGGTAAATTACCAAATTTCACGTTTTCGACTAGCTAAACTAATGAGTAAAATAGAAGGGATTAAAATTGCGAGATTAAACAATAAAAATAAATAAACAGCTAATTGGGTGGAATTCAATATAATGAAGGGCTAGGATTGAGTTTTCACCACAACTTCGATACTCAATGATGAATTATTTCAGTTCTCGGTGTTGGTTAAAACTAGAAAGGGTGAATTAGTCTAAATTAATCTAAAGCCTCTTTCAAGGTCTAAAGATCGTGTCTAAGTAATTCTAATTAACCTACTTTCGTGGAATCAAGATTAAATTAAACCCATTAAGCTTTATGCTAATCCTAATCAAATCCCTAAGAAATCTAGCCTATTTTCGTGGTTCGAGTTTCCTGCTTAATTTCTAGAGGTTCGATATTAATTTTTATCTTTTGGTCCTTCAATTAATTATCTATGATTGCTAATCCGGTGATCAAGGGAATCAACAAAATTAATTCATAAGAAATTAAGTTTAAAGATTTAAACTTTTCACCAAGAACCTACATTAATTCATCATCAATTATCAAAAAGTTGGGTTCTTTCCCGATCCTAGACAATGAATTTACTCACACATGATTGAGATAAGAGAATACATCAAATAAACATGCAAATCAATCATAAGAAGAAATTAATTAAAGAGAGGAAAAAAATTAACCCGTCTTTCAATTGAAATTTTCAAAATAAAGACTTGCAATCCAATCTTGTACAAGAAATCCCTCGTCTTCTTTCAATACTTGAACTCTAAATTAGATACTAATTGACGGCTAAGAGAAAGTAAAATGGTCTCCCAAGCCCTAAGCTAAAATATCTATATATAGATTCCAAAAAATTTGGAAAAAGATAAAGTCTGAGCCACATGTGTAGTACGTGCCACACCTGGGTGTGGCAGAAGCTGTCTTCTAAATGTTGTCAGGGCCGGTCCAATGGTACGATGCACACCACACCAGGGTATGGTACAGTCTGTCTTGCTTATTTTGTGCTCGTTCATAGTCGAAATTTCAGTTCTTCATACTCGTGCGTCTATTTTCTTCTCGAACCATGCATTCTCAATCTCAATGTTGCTTCAAACTCTTGTTTAACTTCCAACGATCATCGAAACTTTCACTCTTGAGCCAATACCTGCATATAAGAACACAAACCACAACAGTATCCTCGATCTAAGCACGAATATGCATTAAACACCCGTAAATCACACTAAGCTAATGCATATTTTACGTGTTTATCACATATGACTTAACTAGACCTTTGTCAACAATGACAATCCTCCATGTCTGCCCCATGGCATGTCAACTATTCTCGGATCTAAACTTGACCTTAGTCAACCTCCCAACACCTTTAGACTTCACATTTTACTTGGGTAACAAACTTAACTCTGATACTAGTTTGCTAGGGAGTAATCGGGCCTAACCAAGAGTTAATGAGCCTTAAAAGGCTACGAGCCAATTTTAAACCAAAAACTTAAGCGGTTAGGTATTGATCATATTCAATATGAGACTATACTCACATATCAGGGTGCTAGATCGTATCTATATCCAAGGAAATATGCGTAACCGTATCCATATGGATAAAGATATGGTTACTCAAATATGTAACCGATAGGATATGGTTATGGTTTTATAGTGAAATATCCGGATCCATATCCGAAATATCCGTATACATATTAGTCATACTGTAACGATAGTTTTAATCATTAGATTGTGGAGTTGAGATTATTTTTTTGATGATCAAGATGTCTAATTTTAGCTTTTCAGATATAATGAACTCTTGTATTACATGAAGTGTATTTTTTTCAATACTATCTAGTTTTCTCATATATGTTTTGTATCCGCGTACATATCTGCTTATATATCCGTATGTATATCCGTATCCGTATCTGATTTTAGTGGATATGGATATGAGATTTCCTTACCGAGGTGTATCCGTATCCGAGATGGATAAGCGGATATGAATTTGGTAAGTATCATATCTGAGCCATATCCGGACCGAATGCACCCCTACTCACATATGAATAACCTTAACATTAACTTGGCAGTGACAAATTTTGTAAAGAGGGAGAGGATAGGTGAAGAGTGTCTTTCGCATTAATTTGGTCACCTTGACCACATCCAATTTTCTTGTTTCGTGTTCTTTTCCTATGTGGTATTTCTTATGCACAAACCTCTTTACAATCATTCAAGAGGGTGAAGATATAGTAAAAAAATTGATTGTTATTTATAATATGCTGTCATTGGTTTGTTGGGTCTGAATCTATAAGTTTAAAATATTCTTGTCCCCTTTTTTCTCTCTTGTTTCTAGAGGCAATACGAGGAATTTAAAGTTCAAATCAACAGCATCATAGCTCAATTTCAGAAAATCCCTGTTGATGGCTGGCTCATGAGGGATGGAACTCCATGGCCTGGAAACAACACCAGGAATCATCCAGCAATGATACAGGTTTTTCCCCCTTCTTCTTTTGTTTTTTATATACATATATTAAGCACTGTTTGTGAGCACTGACATCTATTCCATTTATGTAGATATTATTGGGCCGCAAGGGACCTCAGGATCGTGAGGGTCAAGAACTTCCGCAGCTTGTTTATGTATCCCGTGAAAAGAGTCCTGGTTACCAACACAATAGTGTGGCTGGAGCCATGAATTCTTTGGTAAGTTTTCTAGTCACATCATATATAAAGGTTGTTTAATTTTTACTGAAGGAGAACTCACACATTTGTATATCTTACAGGTTCGAGTTTCTGCTGTTCTTACAAATGGGTGTTATATTCTGAACCTTGACTGCAATCAATATATAAACAACAGCAAAGCTCTCCTTGAAGCAATGTGTTTTATGATGGATCCCGGTGTGACAAGGAAGACTTGCTATGTCCAGTTTCCTCAAAGATTTGATGGTATTGACTCACGTGATCGCTATGCTAGCAAGAATAATGTATTTTACGATGTGAGTCACTGATTCTATTTAACAAAAACTGCTGCAGAAATCTTGATGCCTTTTTAACCCTTTTTTAGGGAAAATGTAATCACAAGAAAATACCCACCAAGTTCTAGTTAACTTATTGTCTCTAGTTTCCTTAAGCGTATTCTAAGAAATAGCTTGAGTTGGGACAGTTTTTGTGCATTAAAGATACACAATAGACATAATTTCCCACTCATACATACTTTTCTTTTTGTAAGTTCATTCTAGCATTTGTTGTTAATGATTAAGTTGCATTGCTGCATGTTGTTGTTTGAGGATAGATTGTCCATGAAAGCATACATACCTTTTCTTGTTGTTAAAAGATGTATGTCCTTATGGGAGCATGCAAATAAATGTCAGTCAATTTTTACAAAAATTATACCTACCTCAGTGGATGGATCATAATGCAATTTACATCATGGGGACTAATCCAGGTACATTTAATTAACTGAATGACAAAAATGCACTAAAGAAACTTAGATGACATTTGACTCTCAATGAAGTTAAAGAGATAGCCCTAGTCCTTAAGGTCAGGCACTTTACTGGAAATTGTCCTTTAAGGCTCATTTTGCGAATGTTATGGAACACCATATTCTGATGATGATCTTGTATGTTGCCTAATGATCTCCCTAACTGACAAAGGTGCTTCAGCACTTTTAGAATTTTCACTAATGTCACTTGTAGAATCAGTAAAGTGGTACAAGCATCATTTCAAGGAAATCCTTACCTTTCCAATAGAAGTTTAACTATTAAAGTGTCAATTTTCTGTGAACTCAAATTGAGAAAAAATGATAGTCCTTTTCCATGGACACGTTATGTTGGCGTTCAATTTAAATTGTGTTTGAAAATTCTTTGTAACAACTTTCAGATAGCATGAACCATCTGAAATGTATGCTTACATGATTTGGATTTAATTTGCGAACATTTTGGTATGATCATGGTTCAATTTAACATGCACATGCATTGTAAATCTGCAAATCTTTGCCATCAAAGATATATTGAATAATGATCAGTTAGGGCCACAATTTTTTTCCCCATTTAATGTATAACTCGACTAGTGAGGGCTAAGACATGCTAGCTAGCTTTTATTCATGAATGCATCATAATCTGTTAGTATTCTCTTTTATCTTTTTTGGCAGATATACATGAAGGGTCTTGATGGAATTCAGGGGCCTTTCTGTGTTGGAACTGGCTGTTTCTTTAATAGGAAGGCCTTGTATGGTTGTTTACCTTCTGTAGAACCAAAAGGCAGAATATTGAGTTATTCCAGACCTTGGGGGAAGAACTTCGATCTTGAATGGAACTTTATTTCTAGACTTCTAGAGGAAGACAACTTAAGTTTAGATGATATAAAACTGAGCAATCTTGAAAGGAAGAATCCTTCTCTCCTTCTCAGCTTAAAAAAATATTTTGGCGAGTCATTAACTCTAATTACATCTGTAATTTTCAACGGCGATCACTATGCAAAATCTTCTTCACCTGAGGAACTTCTGAAAGAAGCAATTCGTGTTATAAGCTCTGATTATGAGGATGATACCGCATGGGGAAAGGAGGTAAGAAACAATAATCTTCTTTGACACGTCTTTCTTCTCTTGCAGGTTTATGAATCGAGTGTAGAAAGATTTTGTAGTTTCAAGCATAATTTGTAAAAGAATTCTGTCATATATTCTTTATGAGTTGTATTATTCAGTCAATATCTATGAAGCATAAACTTGTTCAGCACAATCCAAGTTCGACCAATCTGCCTTTAGCTTGGTATCAGTAGTTATTCCCTACAAAGTTCAATTTGTCTACTTTGATTTCATCAGTATGCATAACTGACTCTATGAAGGGCTTACATACAAGGCAAAACAAATATACAATTCCTACTTTGTTTATAAAAGGTTCCATAAAATTTTCCTCGTATCTGTCCCCATTGCTACTGTTAATCATTACTCATGCCATGTTTGATAACTGATTATTCTTACAAATTAGCTGCTACCGGCAAACTGATGAATGTATTACATCATCTTAACGTTCTAAGGGTGATAATATTGCTAATGATTATTATTTTGAGTTTTTAACTAGCCAAGCCATGATTCGACTATGCTATAACAATTTGCCATAACCCCAAAGCTGCGCTTTTTCAGCTATTGTCATGGTTATCAATATGGAATTACCAATTATTATTTAAATTTCAGGTGAAAGGAAGTCGATTGTAAAAAAGTCATAATGAACAGGTTAACTTCAGAGTTTTGTTTGATCTACTTACTTATTCGTCACTAATTAAACTGTCATTGTTGATACGCAGGTAGGTTGGATATATGGTTCTATGGCTTCCGACATACTTACGGGTCTTAAGATGCATGCTAGAGGCTGGAGGTCTGTGTATTGCACACCCTCTTTTCCCGCATTCAAAGGAATTGCCCCAGCCAATCTATCTGACCGTTTAAATCAGGTCCTTCATTGGTCCCTTGGCTCAATTGAGGTTCTTTTCAGCAGGCACTGCCCAATTTGGTACGGCTGCAGGCTTCGATTGTTTCAGAGGATCTCTTATGTTAATGCTACCATTTACCCCTTCACTTCCATTCCATTAGTTGCATACTGCACTCTACCAGCTGTTTGTCTTATTACCGGAAAATTCATTATTCCACAGGTAGACCTCAATAACCTCGAGGAAACTGTAAAAAATTCTATTGCATACATCATTTAAGTTACTAGAATACAAAATCTTTTCATTCATGCAGATAAGTCTTATGGGAAGCCTCTGGCTTATGCTTCTTTTAATCTCAACATTTTCTTCTGGAATTCTTGAGATGAGGTGGAGTGGTGTTACTACACAAGAATGGTGGAGGCATCATCAGTTTAAGGTGATTGGGGGAATTTCAGCGTATTTATTTGCAGTTATTTATGGGACAATGAAGATTCTGATCAGGAAGAAATCTGATTTGGTAGTTTTAATCGATAAATCTGCCGAGGATGAATTTCCAGGTCTCTATGCATTTCGATGGACGTCTCTTTCGGTCTTGCCTATTACGGTAATCTTCATTAATTTGTGGGCTATTATTGCTGGGTTATCTTCTGCTAGCAATGGTGGTTACGGGTCCTGGGGTCCATTATTTGCCAAATTCTTCTTCTCATGTTTGGTGATCATTCATCTCTACCCATTTTTAAAGGGCTTGTTGGTCAGACAAAATCGGATTCCTACAGTTGTCATTATTTGGTCAGTTCTTCTTGCATCCTTATTTTCTGTTCTTTGGGTTCGAGTGAATCCATTTGTTACAAGAATTAAAGGACCCAATATTCAGAATTGTGGCATTTATTGTTAATTAAGCTTGCTTTTTTTTGTGTTGCCAAGCGCAATTTTTAATTCTACATTCTTTATTTTGCACACAAACCTGCGGGTGTATATTGTGTAATGTGTCTTTCTTATTCAGATGGAATAAATTTCTGAGTTTAAGTTTGGTTGTGTGATGCTTTTGTCACTTGAAGATGGCATCTTGACTGTGTTTAGTTGAGCGTTCCCTGTTTAGTTGAGTATTCACTTATGTACGTGCTATCTTTATGGATATATTAAGGACTTTGGCCGAAAAGGGTAGAGAATATTTCTTCCACGGTTTGACAGGGACATCTGCAATTATTGTAATGCATCCTTTTTTCTTCAACTTATGTATGACCATTTATTTGTGTTATGGTGGGGTTTCCAAGGTTAGATCGTTACTGTGTTTTAACTTAATTCTGTCATCGTTCATCATTTAGGGTATATTTGGTCTTTATTTCACTCAGAAAATGCCAATGAAGGTAATTAAATAACTGGATTGTACATTCTTATTATAGTATATGCTTGTATTCCCTCCATCTTCTGTGCTTGTTCTTTATCAATTGTTATATAAACTTTTTGCATTTCGCTGTAGACAATTATCTGTTGTTTCATATCCATGGCCAAATTCTTCCCCACTCAGTGGCTTGTACGAATAATATTATCAACCAATATTTGCAAAGGCCCGTGTGAAGAACTGAGACTGATCTTCTTCAACCTACAAGTCATTATTGTTAAATACTTTTTGTCTAATGTTCATTCCCTGATTTTTCTCAGAGCGAAATGCAGATTGAAATTACTTGGACAATTAGAGACAAACCCTCGAAGGGGAGCCCAGATGCGACGGTAAACGTCGTTGCCATGTGACCTGGAGGTTACATGTTCTATTTATGAAAATGGCCTCTTGTACAAAGTGCAAGTTAAGATTGCTATATAACAGATCCAAAGTACTCCAGCCCTCTGGACCCTGGGCACAGTGCGCAGGAGCTTTGTTAGAGTCAAAATCCTTGTTCTCCTTCTCAAATTTGAAATGGGTTTGTTTATTGAGATGATGTGTGCCTTTGGACCCAAGGAAAACATTCATTGGAACAGTTCACATGCACTCTTAGACAATAAAGACCAGCATACATTGAAAAGGCTACATAATTTGTCCATATGCTTTTACATGCTTCACTTATTCCTCATGACTGTCCCCTCCCTCTCATTATCATGCTTCTTGGGTCTTAATTATGTTAATTATCACTTTGTAATTGATGTATTGCTCCATATCCTTATTTAGTGCACTCATTGTGATACATTTCCTAGTTTGTAACACATTTTTCATCCATCACTATCAATACCATCATGTTACTCAGAAAGTTTTGGTTTTTTATATTTAGCGAAGGAAGAACGACAACAAAAGGTTAACTTCACTTAACACTCAGTAATTTTTGGGTGTATCTTCTGAACTTTAAAGTTTTCTCAACGGATCCTGTAACACCATTTTCTATAAGGGTAAATTCTAGTAGATTGAGGGGCATTTTCATCCTTTTCATGTGCTTGCCATGTGAACCATCAAAGTTGTTTAGAGAAATTATGTGCAGGATGCCCAAATATTTCGAGGGGTTTCAGTCAAATTAACCGAACAGAACAACCCCCGCAATATCCCCTACCACCCCACCCCACCCCACCCACCCACGCCAACATACACGCGTGCACACACAATTTGAATTTTTAAAATTTTTTTTTTCCTATAGCATTTTATCATGTGGCCAGTGAAGATACACAAATCAAGCAAATGTCATGCCCCCCCTTTTTCCAATCACTTCACCAAAAGCATCAGCTTCTATAGTGAGCTCAACCAAAAGTGACTACACACTCACTTCATCAATGTTCTAGATGATGGACCCCCGAAATAAATGTAAATAGTAGCAGTTAACCACAACTCAAGTGCCAAGAAGTTTCTGTGTTCATCATCACCCTCAACACATCTCATCCTTTCCCTTGCTTTGCAAGTTTAGACCTTTTGGCACTGAGGTGGGACATAAGATAAAGCCTTGAGGTAAAAAGGATGCTTAAATTTTACATAGTTTGTGTTTAGTACGAGACGGAGGGTCACTTTCTTTCTACTAGTAGGTGAAATGTACAGATCCTCATGGTTTTTTAGGAGATTTGGTTCCTCCCTTTGATTGCGTCTTTCTTTATGTACGTGGGTTTTTTTTTTTCTTTTTCTTTTTTCCCGTTTCTCTTTTTCGCAGTATATAGAACCAATCTATCTCAAGGTACTTAGGATTGAAGTTTGAAGGTACTCAGGTAGCTATCACACAAATAAACACCAAGAATATGTAGTAAGCGTATATATTTAGTATGACGTAGCCTTCACTGAACTAAATGCTGACTGCTGGAACAAAGTTCAATGATTTCTGCATCATTCTTTCTGTCAGTAGCGTGAAAATGAGAATTTAGAAGAAGACCATCAAACTAAAAGAGAAGATCTTGATTGTTTACAGCACAACATCACTAAAATCAGCGAGAATTTTCCAAGCAATGAGAAAACAAAAAAGGGTAAAAAGGGGGCGAAAAGAAGAAAAAAAAGGAACAAGCTTTATTCTGCACCGGAGTCCCACTAACTCATTCAAGGCAAGTAAGTGGGCTGAAGCTTGTCTCCTTGCACAAACAAAGGATGAATCAAGAGCTTAAGGTTTTCTGTATCATGAGACCTATTTACATGAGAAAAATCTATGCACAAATCATACACACAAATCAAACACTTACAAGAAATCATTAGAATCCTCTTTCTTCTTATTAATCCGAGCCTCCTGTATCTGTCTCTTTCTGATAATTTTGTGTATCAATCAATAAGCTAAATATGTCCAAACACTGCTGAGATTCTCTGGAAATCCTTACCATTGTATAACTCTGAACTGGGCAATTGGGCCTGAGACTGCTGCTGCTGCTGCTGCTGTGGTTGCTGATTCTGCTGCCAAGAGCCGTACCCTTCAATCGAAAATTGGCTTTCGGATTTGATCTCGCTGTACAATGGCTGAGACTGATTCTGCAGGGCTGCAGATATTGGATATGCACCTTGGAGGTACTCAGACCATTTGAGTTCCTCGGCCTCCTCATCGAGGTTCAATTGTGAAGTTTTATCTTGTAGCAAGTCTGTCCATGAGAACATACTGCCGTCAATGAAAGAGCTATTGCTATTTAGCTCCATTCTGCTGCTTCTGCTACTATTACTAGCATCACCGGCCTCCCAGTATTGGATGCCATTGGAATTATCTGGTGGCATGTTGATTGTGGGTTTCAGACCCATCGAAGGCAAAAGGATTGAGCTTGAAACTGATGGAATTACAGTTGACATCCCATTGCAATCAAATTCAGGATTCATCCCCAATAGCCTATTGTTCCGGTTGAGCCAAAGATGCTGATTGTGGGATGTAAGGGGGAAAGAGCTCATCAAATTGGATGCCTGAGAGCTCGAAGAGCTCTCTAGAAAGAAATCCTTGGTTGAAGATATTGAGCTCTCAGATTTGGATGAAATCAGTGACAGAGGAGGGACATGAACCGTAGGATTTGGAGCAGTGTCAGGAAGAGAGGTCGACGTCTTGTTGCTGCTCGCTGTTGCTACTTTTTCTTCTTCGGCTGCTTCGGTCTCTGAGAGGGGCTTGTGGGTATTTGGGTCAATGCCTCTCTGTCTCAGCTTCTTCTTGATGCAAGAATTCCACAGGTTCTTTATCTCATTATCAGTTCTCCCTGGCAATTGTGCTGCAATCTGAGACCACCTGAAAATTTGACAGGTATCTTTCAGAAAACAAAATACTAGTTACAGGAATTAAGAAAGAGAGACATAATTACTTGCCTGTTGCCCAAAACTGCATGGAGATCAATTATGAGGTTCTCCTCCTGCTGAGAGAATGTACCTCTCTTGAGATCAGGCCTCAGATAATTTATCCACCTGAGCCTGCAACTCTTTCCACACCTCTGCAGGCCTGAAAACAGAGTAATTTATTGATTTCAGATAGAACTCAACAAACCCATTTTGTTGCATTGGGTCTAGTGCAAGGTTTACCTGCTTGTTTGGGAACAGAGCTCCAGCATCCATGTCCATATTTGGTTATATGTTTGAGGAGCTTCTCATCTTCTTCAGGAGACCATAAGCCTTTCCTTAGCTTCTGTTTGTAGCAGCAAGAGTGCCTTCCCATTCTTCGATGAATGTCGGTGAGGGAGAGAGAGAGAGAGAGAGATAGAGAGAGAGTGTGTGTGTGTGTGGAGGAAAGTGATGGAGTTGCAGAGAAGAGGAGGAGCTAAAAAGAGAGAGAGAGAGAGAGAGAGAGAGAGAGAGAGAGAGAGAGGTGTCAAAATCAAGTGGGTGTGATTTGAGCTGAGTTTTTTTTTTCTTCTTCTATATTGATTCTCTCTCTCTCTCTTTCCCCCTTCTTTTGTTCGTGTTCTTTTTAAAGGTGAGGGATGAGATCGAGAGTGGGGGGATTAATCCCCAGAGTTTTTTTTCTCAATCACTTACTTGAGAATTAATGTCTGCTGCAGCAGTTGCAATGGTGGGGCTCCTCAACTCTGATATTTTAGCGAAGGTACCCAGATAAATGAAGGATGTCACAGTTTTTTTTCTATCACTAAGTCCAGGCAATAAAATTTGCGGGTAAAAGACTTTGTTACTGAGTTCTGTTCTTTTATTTTTTGTATTCAATTGTACCAATTCTAGCTAGGACTTATCCTTTGTATTCGCTTTTCCTTAACTAGTGAATGTTATAATTGAGATGAGTGCACTGTAATGTACCCCTAAATATAGATCACACAATACGTCATTCATTTTTGACAGGAAGTATTCAATACAATATCTAGAGAGAACTTATAAGAAGGTTAACCATTTTAGTTACAGTTAATTGCGCATAAACTCCCCAGTACTATAGCCCAATTGCAATAGACCCTGTGTTGTTCTATTATTGCAGATTAGACCCCTGTAGAATCATCCAAGTGTGGATAAACCCACTGGGAATTTTTCTCATTCTCCTACCCTCAAGGAGTATTTATTAGGACACTATTTTCTCTTCCCTGAGGGTGAATAGAGTAAAAAAAAAATATCTGTAGATGAGACTGACCTCCGACTGACGGCGGCGATCGTCAGAGACAAAGGCAGCGAACAGTGACGGTGACGAGGGCCCACCTGCGCGTGGTGGCGAGGGCGAGGAATCTCGCATGGAGGCGAGGAGATGAACTCGCCTGTTGGGCGAGCTGTGGTCGCCTGCGGGCGTGGAAGGTGAGGGGGAAACTCGCCTGAAGGATTGGTGAGCTTGCCTGTTCGAAGGGGGGAGAATTGTTTTTGCTTGTGGTGGATGCCAGCTATGGCCAGCTGGATTGCTCAAGCCCTAGGGTTTCCCTATAAAAGGGAAACCCTGTTCACAAATTGCGTAGGAGCAAAACTCTCAGCGATTTTAGAGAGAGGGAGAAGTTTCTGTGGCGGCTAAACTTCTCAAGGGTTTTTTGAGAAGTTAATTTTTCGGTTAAGAAAAATTAGCTACAGTAAGCGGTGATTTGTAAAGAGATTGAGCTGTGATTTTTATATTAAAAATCACACACGATATTCAACTGAGAAATCTCAAGTTTGAGATCTTCTCTTTGCAAGTTTGTAATTTCTTATGGTTAAATAAGAAATTAATTGTGTGGCTCCCGTGGACGTAGGCAAGTTTGCCGAACCACGTAAATCTGTTTTCTCGTCTTACTTACTTATTGTTTTATATGTGTAGTTGTTTATTGCTTATATTGGTTAGTTTGAGTTTGGCTTAAACTCGAGCTAGGATTGTTTTCTCTCGGGATTAATTTGCTTCTGCGGCGGTGTGGGCATCCCGCGCCCCCCCAACAATTGGTATCAGAGCCATTGTTCAGATTGGAGATGGTAAAATTTTTGATTTGAGGTGGTGATTGATTATTGTTAAAATTACTAAGAGAATTGGATTTATTAATACAAGCGGAGAATGGCGTTTACAAGTAAAACAGTTAAAGTGGGAAAATATGAGATCGAGAAATTCAATGGGAAGAATAAATTTTCCTATTGTAAGATGCAGATGAAAAATTCGCTGATTTCGTAGAAATTGCACAAGGCTTTGGAGGGAAAAGAGAAGAAGCATAAGGATATGTCTGATGAGGATTGGGAGGAGCTGGATCTGGAAGCACGGGCGTCGATTATCCTTTGCCTTGAAAGGGATGTAGCTTTCTTGGTAGATGGAGAGGTAACGGCTGCGGGGATGTGGTTGAAGTTAGAAAGTATTTTCATGACGAAGAGTCTAACGAACCGGATCTATTTAAAATCCAAATTGTATACTTACAAGATGGAGGAGGGTTCATCAATCCGGAAATACATCAACAAGTTCGATAGGATCTTATCGAATTTGAAAGACATTGAGGTGATAGTGGAAGATGAGGATTAGGCACTTCTACTACTTCTATCTCTGCCGAAGTCTTATGAGAATCTGGTTCAAACACTGATGCTTGTGGGTGACAGTTTATCGATGGATGAAACTAGAATGGCGCTTCTAGCGGATGATCTTTAAAAAATTGTAACTAGTGATATGGTCACTGGTGGTAATAAAGAACAAGCGCATGGGTTCTTTGCCAGAGGAAGGGGCAATGAGCGAGGAAAAAACAAGGGGGGAAAGTCTAGATCAAAATAAAGACCTCTTACGGAGAGACAGTGTTTCAGATGCAGTGAACTAGGGAATTTCAAAGTCAATTGTCCTAACAAGAGAGTGGGTGGGAAGAAGAACAACAATAAGATTGAAAGACGAGAAGGCAAGGAAGAGGCGAGCGCTTCAAGGGAAGGGAACGATAAGGAATGCTATGTCATCACGGGTGGCGAGGATACCTCCCGGAAGTAAATACTTGATTCTAGTTGCTCTTACCACATGTGTCCAAATAAGAAGTGGTTTACTACCTACAGGAGCATTAATGGGGGAACAGTATTGATGGGGAATAACCATGCTTGTAAAACGGTGGGAAACGGTGGGGCTAGGTAATATCAAGATCAAGATGCATGATGGAGTGGTTCGAACCTTGACGGATGTAAGGCACGTTCCCGACTTACGGTTCAAACACTGATGAGGATTAGGCACTTCTACTACTTCTATCTGTGGAAGATGAGGATTAGGCACTTCTACTACTTCTATCTCTGCCGAAGTCTTATGAGAATCTGGTTCAAACACTGATGCTTGTGGATGACAGTTTATCGATGGATGAAACTAGAATGGCGCTTCTAGCGGATGATCTTTAAAAAATTGTAACTAGTGATATGGTCACTGGTGGTAACAAAGAACAAGCGCATGGGTTCTTTGCTAGAGGAAGGGGCAATGAGCGAGGAAAAAACAAGGGGGGAAAGTCTAGATCAAAATCAAGACCTCTTACGGAGAGACAGTGTTTCAGATGCAGTGAACTAGGGAATTTCAAAGTCAATTGTCCTAACAAGAGAGTGGGTGGGAAGAAGAACAACAATAAGATTGAAAGACGAGAAGGCAAGGAAGAGGCGAGCGCTTCAAGGGAAGGGAACGATAAGGAATGCTATGTCATCACGGGTGGCGAGGATACCTCCCGGAAGTAAATACTTGATTCTAGTTGCTCTTACCACATGTGTCCAAATAAGAAGTGGTTTACTACCTACAGGAGCATTAATGGGGGAACAGTATTGATGGGGAATAACCATGCTTGTAAAACGGTGGGAAACGGTGGGGCTAGGTAATATCAAGATCAAGATGCATGATGGAGTGGTTCGAACCTTGACGGATGTAAGGCACGTTCCCGACTTACGGAAGAATCTTATCTCAGTTAGTGCTTTGAACTCCGGGGGTTGCAAGATTGTAACATAAAATGGAGTGAAGAGGGTTGTTCGGGGTTCCTTAGTAGCGATGAAGGGCATTCGTCATGGTAACCTATATACTCTCTTGGGTACGACGGTGACGAGAGATGCAACGGTTGGAACTGAAGGAAGTGGTGGAGATCCATGTGAGCACACACGGTTATGGCATAGGCAACTTGGGCACATGTCAGAGAAGGGTCTAGATCTGCTTGGTAAAGAGGGTTTGCTGAAGAATCTGAAGAAACCCTGTATGGATTTTTGCGAGGACTGTGTGTATGGAAAGGCACACAAGGTCCTGTTTCTGACAAGCAATCACAAGAGTAGAGGGATACTGGATTATGTGCACACAGATGTTTGGGGTCCGGCTTCGACAACTTCCAAGGGTGGTTTCAGATATTTTGTCTCATTCATAGATGATTATTTGAGGTATGCTTGGGTTTATTTTCTTAAGCATAAGAATGAGGTATTTGAGATATTCAAGAAGTGGAAGGCGATGGTTGAGAACAGGACAGGAAAGAAATTAAAGATATTAAGATCTGACAACGGTACAGAGTATACAGATGGTGCCTTCAAGGAGTTTTGTGATTAGGAGGGGATTGCCAGACACTGGACAGTTAGATCTACACCACAGCAAAATAGGGTCGCGGAGAGACTGAACCGAATGCTACGGGAGAAAGCAGTGAGTATGCAATCATATGCTGGTTTGGGCAAATAATGGTGGGCAGAGTCGATTGCTACAGCTTGCTATATAGTGAGTCGATCTCCACATTCTACATTGGATGGTGATACACCCTATCGGGTGTGGTCAGGGGAGCATGCAGATTATGAGAGGCTCTGAATTTTTAGGTGTACCGTCTATTATCACGTCAACGAGGGAAAGCTTGATGCGAGGGCCAAGAAGGTAATTTTCTAAAGGTATGCAAAGGGTGTAAAAGACTATCGTCTTTGGTGTACAGAAGATTAGAAGTTCATGATCAGTAGGGACGTTACCTTTGATGAGAAGTCCATGATTGCTAGGGTGCCCAAGGATGATGGTGTTGAGACTGTTGGGAATTCTAAGTCCCAGGTTATTGAGGTAGAACCTAAAGACCAACCAGGTTCTAGTCGTGTTCAAGTGAGAAATCAGGTAGATGATGAGCTTGAGCCATTACAACAACAGCAGCTCGAGGATAGCTTGGCTTCCACTAGGTCAAGGCGAGTATACAAGCATGTACAGAAGCTGGGGGCTGATCAACCCCTGAAACACTATGGACATGTTAATTTGGTTGAGTACGCACTCTCAGTGGAGGAAGATGAGTCAGTCTCCTTCAAGGAAGCTATTCGGGATAGAGATAGTGAGAGTTGGTTGGCTGCGATGGAGGAGGAGATGGAATCTCTCCGGAAGAACTAAATATGGGAGGTGGTCCCATTGCCCGTAAGAAAGAAAGTTATAGGTTGTAAGTGGTTGTATAAAAGAAAGGAACATCCTTCAGAGCTCGGTGGTACGAGGTACAAGGCAATGCTAGTGGCTAAGGAGTTTGTACAAAGAGAGGGTGTGGATTACAATGAGATATTTTCTCCAGTGGTAAAACATACTTCTATTCGGGTGCTATTGAGTATTGTTGCTCATGGTGATCTTGAGCTGGAACAACTCGATGTCAAGATGGCCTTCTTGCATGGAGACTTGGATGAAGAGATCTATATGCATCAACCTGAGGCTACAAGGTTGAGGACAAGGAGAATTATGTATGTCGCTTGAGAAAATCTCTATATGGACTGAAGCAATCTCCTCGGCAGTGGTACAAGTGATTTGACTCCT